CCCCCCCCCCCCCCCCCCGCCACTGAAAGCCTCGGGCGTAGCTGCTGACCGCGACGCCGCCGCTTCGCTCGCCAACTCGCGCCGGGCCGAGTATGAAACAGTGTCGTGGCCATTGAGAGACTCAGCTCCCAACCTCCCTCCTCCCGGTATCCTCCCACCCACGATCTTGATCCCTGCTCACTTTATAGCCCCTCTATAAATACCCGCTGCGGAGCGGGCTGGCAGCGGCCGGGGCCGCGGCTGAGGCACCAGCTCAGCTGCCGGCCAAAGACAGGGTGAGAAAAATTACCTGTAACTCACGCTTTGAAGAGGTGAGCGGTCCGTGGGAGAAGCTCAGGGAGGAGCAGCCCGCAGACGGCATCGGGGGGCTCAGCCTCGCCCGTGCCGGAGCCGGCGGCCGGGCATGTGCTGGCCACTCATCTGCTCCCGAATAAAACAGAGCCAACTCCAATTTCTCCGTGCTACCGAGGGTAGGGAACCTTAAGACGTTGCGAGTTTCAATAAAAGGCACATTTAGTTTTGCTACGTTTTACTAGCGATTTCCAAGCACGCGGGATTTCTTTTTCTCTTTCAGAACACAACTGCTCCTACTTCAAGCACTTCACACCAGGACAGAGCTCAGAGATATTTGAAGTAACCACCCAGAAAGGTAAGAATAATCCTGAAAAATATTTTCCTAGCTGAAGTGCACAGAAGACCTAAGGTAAAGGGATCCCCAAAATGAGGGTTCAATCCTGGTTCCACCGAAAGCAGTAGAGGAATTTCCATCGGCTACCACCAGCTGCAAAAATGTGAAAAAAAACCGCTCTGAACGAGGTCAAATGCCAGCTTCCCGGGAAGAATAATTTCTATATATGATCACACTCGTTAAGTGTGATTTTACTCAAAGTTGTCCCACAAATATATAACGATGTCAATACCCGTGAAAACTGAAAAGAGTCTTTTCAGCATAAAAATGGCTTTACAACATTGGCACCGTCTGCGGCACTCCGAGCCTTTGCCGTCGAAGGAAGAAGACATTAATAAAATCTACATGAATAAGTCATGCCCCAAGCAGAGTCTTGACCCTGAAAAGACGTACAGCGACTCCGTGAAGACCATTAGGAATTTTGTGCTTCATATTGATTTTATGTGAAAGTCATGTAAAAACCAGAGCGATCAATGGAAGGAAGGAACAGAGATCGTACAAAGACATGCACAGGCAGTCTTTACAGAGCACGGGTTTTTAAAACAGTCTTTCACAGACAAATTTCACTTTTCTAAGAAGTCCCTGATAAAGCCAAATATTGTTATAAATCACCTAACGTGCTCCTCTCGGTAAGGACAAATTCCCTCCTAGTTTGCCACACCACATATTTTGCTGTGGAGTATATGAGCTGATGATTCTATTACACATATTAAACAATCATCTGCTTTGCTTCCAGGGGAAATGGTAACGGTGGAAAACTCCGCACACAGGTTTTCTAAAAAAGCAGTTTCCTCAGACAGGAAAAACGGGGAATTTTAAGTGGATCGAAGAGCGTGTATCTGAGCTACCTGCTTTTGCTCATTTATATGCTACCAGTTCCTGCCACCTGATGTTTAAAGTGTGCCCAATGTCACCACTTTTCAGAAAAAAATCAGAAAGAACTTCTTTTCTTTGAAGTAAAAGAAAAAGCTTAAGCCCCAGCAAAGGACTTTATATCTAAATGAACTCTTCGAGGCAGTTCTAGCACATAGTAAAGAGAAACATCAAGAAAATTATAATAAAACAGTGGTATGAAAAGCAAGGAGAACAAAGAGCGATCTGCTGTTCCCTTTCGCAGAAATAGCTACGTTTTGATGGCAGCTAATTAGTAACAGGCAAAAAAATTCTTCACGATTTTGCCTGGGAGATATTTTTTTAATGGCTTGAAAGGCAAATATCACCAGGCACTGTGATGTTCACGCATGGCCACATGTGTTTAATATTAAACTAATCGGAAAGGGAATACAATATGTATTATTATTATAAATATATTAAATATATTATTCAATTAGCAATTCTCCCCCCACGCAGGCACCGCAGTGTGCTTTGGCTGGGGGAAGTGTCCAGCGCACATGTTGGCCGGCTTAGCGAAAACCAGGACATCTTTTGGAGGGTTTAATCCTATGTCCCGCAGAAGCTGGGTTTTCGTGGAGCTGGAAATCGTTCTTTTAAAGGGGGGAAAAAACCCCCCACCAAACCAACCCACAAACAAAACCAAAACCAGACGCTACGCACACACTTCACCAGACCAGTACAGGTGCCCTGTGGTCTTGCAGTAAGTGTTCAGAAAGCGTTTCCCCTCCTGCTCCGTTTTTAGAGCCTTTGCATTGAAAAGATGGATGGCCAATACTTGCCCCTGCTTTTATTTGAGGAAAATACTCAAGTCACCTGAGCCACCTCTCCACAGCAGCAGGAGGATACATATTTCTCGGAGTGACCTACTGCAAAGTCACAATAGCTGGCGGGGGCATGCTCAAAATTTGCATACATTTGCATTTGCGGTGTTTGTTTTGCTTTGGCAGAATACAGCATTTCAGCTGCAGCCATTGCCATCTTCAGCGTTGGCTTTGCAATCATCGGAACGATCTGCGTCCTCTTGTCCTTCAGGAAGAAGAGGGATTACCTGCTGAAGCCAGCATCCATGTTCTACACCTTCGCAGGTACGAGGCTCGGTGCTCACATACTTGCACTCGGTTTGCAGGACAGCGTAGAGAAACCTAGATAGCTCCTGGGAGGATGGGGCACTTCTGAAAACGCCCGGGAAGCGGCATTCTCTTCCTGGCCACAGTCAGCCTGCGCGTCCCTGCGCGGTGCTCCAGCTGAAGAGCTCTGAAGGTGCCCGGCTCAGCCAGCACTACCCAGCAGCTTGGCTGTAATTTCTCCAGTTTAAGAGGAGCATTTCTAGCACGTTCAGTGCCGGCCCCAGTCTAAACCAGGGATATATACTCTTCTATCTCGTTTATTAAGACCCAAAGCAAAGAAACAGCTGATCCAGGCCCAAAATACAGAACCATCTCCCAAAACCACAAAGACTGCATTTTTAGAGGAGCCGGTACTACCTTGACATGCCACGATGACTGAAGGACAGAGGTGCCACTTGTCACCTCAGTAACAACCTTATACAATATACACCAATATAGCACACAATATACACCACCAGCAACCTTTGGAAAAGCTCCCTGGGGAACGCAGTTATTCCTCCACCACCTGGAGTTTCCCATCCAAGCCTGCCTAAAAGATCACACTCAACGAGCCACCGGCGGGCTCGGATGGCCTGGGTTATCGCGGAGCTTGGAGCAGTTGTCAGCGGCGGCTCCGTCAAACACTGGAGTCAGTGACTCACCCGTGACTCTCACTGCAGTGCCCGTACGCAAAAAGACAGATGAGGTGGTTAATTAAGGATGAAAAATATACAGTCGGTTATTCAACCCACTGCTCCTATCTTCCTTCAGGTCTCTGCATCATCATCTCTGTTGAAGTCATGAGACAATCCGTGAAGAGGATGATCGACAGCGAGGAGACAGTCTGGATCGAGTACAGTTACTCCTGGTCCTTCGCCTGTGCCTGCGCCTCCTTCGCCCTGCTCTTCGTCTGCGGCATCGCCCTCCTCCTGATCGCGCTGCCTCGCTTCCCCCAGAACCCCTGGGAGACCTGCATGGATGCAGAACCGGAGCACTGATGCTCCCAGCACCCAGGAAAAAATCCAGAGCGCGTTCTGAAAGGATTGGTATTTTTTAAGATGTCTGGGCCGCACTATACGATGTGCACTCTGTTAACGAAGTCGTTACTGAACCAAGGCATGTCCGGTTGCAATTAGTGCTTTGTTTCTTTCCTTTTTTTTTCCCCCTTTTTTTTCCCAGCAAGCAGAAAGAGCATTCGGCGCCAGCGTGGGTGTGGGTGGAGGGCACTGCTCGGAGCCCATTTGGGGGTGCCCTGTGCTGATGCAGTTGGGGGAAAATGTGTGAGACAGCTCGTGCCAGAGAAAACGGCTGCCTGAGGGAGATGTTTGGTGTGGCTGGGTCTAGATCTGTGAGGGATATCGGGCTTTTATGCCTCATTTGGTCAGAGAGAGACAGAGAAATTCTAGCTCTGCGGGGAGTCCGGTTCCCTGTTCATGCTGCACTCCTCTACCTCCCCAAGAAGGGTTAACTCACCACTCCGGAAAATGTTAGAGACCCTTATGCTATCCTGTTAAACTGTTAAAATTCGGGGGAAAAAGAACAAACAACAAACCAACCCCTTTGCTTAGCACTGGGACGAAAGTTTCTCCTACAAATTTACACCCTGCAGTTCCGTTCTTTTGAATTACACACCAAAAACCCGTAAGATATAGTTTTTGTCCTGCTTAAACTTCGATGGCAAAGTGAAGAAATACCGAACGTTAAGAGTGATCTTTTCCTTTAATAAAAAGCATAATCTTCCAGTGGCATGATTTTCTGGAAAATTATTTTGATGGATGAATCACTTGGCCCATGGAATTCTGCTAGGTCCAGAGTGACGGTGTAACTCTGGATGGCGTTGACCGTACGGAGCTCTCATGCGGTCCTCGTGAACGGGCTTTTTCAGAACACCGCGCTTGGCTCGCTGCAGGCATATACGTAAAACTGTATTTTAGGAAAAATCCTTCAAGGTAGCTGCCAAGAAGGAACGGACTTGGCCTGAATCAGCCAGGAGAGTCAGCCCCGAACACACCACAGAAGCGCGTCGCTGCTCACGCACGCTTGAAGAGCCGCGCGCCCGAGGCAGCGCCGGCGGGGCTGGCTGC